CGGAGGGCCGGCGGGGGCTCGGGGGGCCCGGGGGGCCCGGAGGCGCCGCTTCGCCCTCCCGCGGAGCCGCTGCGGCCGCCGGAGGGCCATGGCGGGCCACCCCAGCCGCGCTTCGGCGGAGACCCACGCTGGCCAACACGGATTCCGAGGGGCGCCGGCCGGCGCACGGTGGGGAGGGCCCGGCGCCACCGCCTCGGCCGAGCAGGGCGGGGACGAGCCGAGGGGCTGCGCCGGCGGCGGGGCGCTCGGCCTGACGGGGCGGGCGGCGGGCCGATGGGCGCCAGGCCCGGCTGACGGCCCACGTGGCAAGGAAGCCACCCGGGCAGAGCCCAGCAGAAGGCCGAGCTCTTCCCAATCTCGACAAGTTAGAAAATAAAAGCACCAGACTCCAAACCCGTTTTGCTGAAGCTGATTAAAACACATGCCTTCCGGACAGTCCGTCAACAAATGGCGCGGGAAACTCAGTCTCTACATGCAGAAGGGTGGAGCTGGACGCTCGGGTCACACTACATGAAAAGCGACTCAGGACCCGGTAGCACATGCCTGTAGTCCCGGCTCCTTGGAAGGCCGAGTAGGAAGAATCGTTGGAGCCCAGTGGGCGGTTGCTGGGTGGTCGTGAGCGTGCCACTGCCCTCCAGCCTGGGCAACGGAGTGAGACTCCGACTCATAAAGTACTCAAGGCCTCAGCGTGAGACCTGAAATTACAGGACTCAGAGGAGCACACAGAAGGAAGGCTTCGCGATGCTGACAGGCTCCATCTCCTGGACACGCCACCAAAAGCAGCAGCAGACAGGCAGACTCCCCGGAAGCCTCAAGCTCCGGCCGCGTTAGCGGACAAAACCCAAAGGGGGAGAGGCGACCCACGTACTGGGAGGAAGATGCCTGCCACTAAGATCTCTGGCAAGAAGACCGAGGACTCTCACAGCTCAGCAAAGCCCGATCAAAAAGTGGGCCAGGGGCTTCAGCAGGCATGTCTCCAAGACACACAAATGTCTCCCCCACATGCGAAAAGATGCTCAGCACTCGTGATTGCGTGCTTCTTGCCACACTGTAAAACAACCCCTAACACGCCTCTCCCCCAACACGCCCAAAGGCACTTCCACGCGGGAGTCTGCCACCACAGGGCCTCTCTTGGACAAGCACGTTCATCTGGGGACTTTGCCCCAGTAAAGCGTCTCGAAACCGAAGGATCATGCAGACGAAATACCCAGAAGGCAGAAAGGCGCACATTTCTGTCCTTCCAACCTGCCAATATGCCAAGGCCACTGGACGTTTATCACACGCACTATTCACACCAGCTTACGTATGACGAGCTGGATACCGTCCTCTTGAATGTGGGCAGATTAGTCTGTATGCACGTAGGAAGGAATTTTAATACATGTTTTCAGGAAAAAGTTTTTATTTTATACCATTACAAAAATATTTAGGCACATAATTTTCATGTTCATGTCACGTACACATCTCAACCCTCAACTGCTTTTAATACTAAGATGGTCAACTGGTAAATAGAATTTATGCTGAAAAACTCTTGCGAGAGGGTAAGACCTGCAGACAAAAATCAGCTGATCATCGGCATAAGGAAGAAACACTGAGCAAAATAATCTCTAAAAACATTTTTTAAGACAATAAATCTAACCAGCAGATTTCCTTTTTAAAAAGTGTACTCGAAAATCAAAGCTTAAAATAAACAGAACACTGCAGAATATCTCCTCTGAGGAGGCAGCATCCTAAAATAAGAAGAGAAGACAGGCTGGAAAACAGATGGCGCCGGGGTCAAGGGCACTGAACCCAGAGGGGGAGCAGGAACGTTTGGCCTATTCGGGCAAGAAACTGGGAAAGTGTTCACGGAATTACCATTCTAAATTGGAATTACCTTCCTCTATGACAGAAAATACTTCTTAAAAATGTGCTATCGTAATATGAAAGTTATTTTGTTTTAAAAAACAGGGAGAATCCCCTGCATCACACGATGGCCACGATTATGTCCGGTAGGTATCTGGAAAGAGAGAAGCGTGGACAGAGACTGCCACCAGGGCCTTTCAGAGACGGTGAGGTACGGGCCACAGCTTTGGGAAATGCACGTGACCCAGGCCTCTGGCATCGAAGGGAAGACATGAAGAATCTCGCGCTGCCGTGGTCTCACCGCAAAACGGTGACACATCGGTTACCTTTGCTGACTGCCTAGCATGTGCTACGTAGGCATTGTGCTGGGTAGTTTTATATCCCTTTCTCATTTATTCCAAGTATTTTTTCCTCAGGGAGGGAAAAACCCATGGCAGTCCCGTTCACGGGAAGAACTGCTGGCAGTTCTGGGAAAGCACGAGTGTGTGCGCAAGGGGAAGGGCTTGGGCCGTGCAGACCCTAAGAGCGGCGTTGCTCTCTGGGAACTGGAAGACTCAGATGAAGGAAAGGCGTTAGCACTGTGGGTGGCCCTCCCAGAACCAGAGGTCTTGGCTTCTGGGCAGACAGCTCCTGAGTCCTTCCACCTGCCTCGCTTCCCTCACGCAGGGTCCAGGCCACCGCTTCTGGCTAAAGAACCACACACTCACCGAGAGCGAGAGCCCTGTCTTATCTGCGTTCTCCAGAGCTTAGCAAGACACCTGGCATGCTACAGCTGCTCATCAAATCCCTGCCCACGGATGGAGGCCACAGTCATGAAAGCCAGGGTGGCCCGGAGGCTGAGGCCCTGCTCCAACCAGTCAGATGCACACCTCTCCTCTTCTGCCTGGGATGTTCCCACATCAGCTCTCCTGACCAAGCCTACCACGGGCTCCTGATACAACAGGACCACCGAGAACTCACATCACTGCAAGGTCCTGGCCTCTTGTGTACTGACTGCACCACCAGCCACAGCAGACATGCTCATCGCCAAAGCCAGTGGATGTCCACGAGCCAAGGCCCGCCGGGCCCCGATGGCAGTTCAGGCAATGCCACGCACAGCTGCTCACTTGGCGTGCAGCAGGGGCCCTGAGAAGCTGGCAAGGGCACGAGAGGTGGGCGGGAGTGTCTGGAGGCAGCAGGGCGGGCCACTCCTCACGCCGTGTTCGGAGCAAGGAAGCGCCAGCGGACGGCCTGGCCCTGCCCGAGAAATGGCAGGCCTGGGCAACTCCAGGACGTCTCCCCAGCCCTTCCCGTAAACCAGCACCTCCAGAGCTGGAAGCCTCACTATGCTGATCCCAAGAGGAGTGACAGGAGCACCCAGCCGAGGAAGGAGGCATGGGCAAAAGACAGTGGCCCCTTGCCGTCTGCTGCTGCCACAAGAGGAGTCGGGGCTGAGCCGCGCGGCTCTGCAGAACAAGCGCCTCGCAGGCGTGCCCGTGGACTCGCTGTGGAGGGGCCCACGTGGGCGAGGGCTTCCACCTGCGTCCAGACGTGTCGTTTCTGAAACCACCTGCCCTCTTCTCAGCGTCTTCCAGATGGACCGACAGAGCAAAGCCCTCAACACTGGGCACGACGCCTGGCACGCACACACACACTTCAGCTGCTTGTAAGTCAGGAGGCGAAGAACCGAGCACACGGCCGACCTGCTGCGCCTCACTCCCCCGTCCTGCACCACAGAGCGGTCCACGCTCTGCTCACTCAGGGCGGCCCACAGGGAAAGCCGCACACTTCAGATCCCCCCATGTGTTCGTGCCAACGTCACTGTCTTTGACAAACGCAGTGATGACGTGAGGACAACGAACGTGACCGCAGAAAGGAAGATCACAGAAGAGGCATTTCAGAGACTGGCTGTGTTTCCAGCAGAAGGCGGCCACCTGCCTGCAGCCACAGCCCGAGCGCGGAGGCCCAGGGGGCACGCGCCATGTGTGGCTCTCAGGGACACCTGGATGGACGCCGTGGAATGAAACATGTACAAAACGCAGATGTCCCACTGTCGGCAGAAAAGAAAAATAAATTAAAGAGCCCAGTACATTTTCCAGTCTGACATAAATTAATTCAAACGACATGGTTAAAACCGAGTCCATTACAGGATTCTCTCGTCATAAAATTTTAAAGGCAGCAATTGACGCTTGGATTGTACAAGTGCAAAGGAATGGCATTTCTCCGTCACCAGGCCCCTCAGTGTCCGCGTGGAGCTGCCGGCACGCAGAGCCGACGGGAAACAAGCCCCGCGCGGGCACAGCCCTCTCGCCTCACACCGCCCCCTTCCCCTTGACGTCCAGCTTGCCCCCGGCTTCGGACGGTTTGCTCAGCTGCTCTTCAGTGAAGGTGATGTAGGAGTACACCAGGCTCCCGGCGATGCTGCAAGACAGAAAACTGCCATCAGCAACTGAGCGGAGGAGGGGCTCTGGGTAAACACCCTGCTTTGTAATAAAGAAGTTGATAACAGCAAAAAATCAGAAGAGTCAGTGCTCCACAGTGGAGAATTATATACATTCCCACAACGGAATACCATACATCGACAAAAATGCCATCAAATGAAAACAGGCAATGACATCTTAAGTGAAACATTAAGCATTGTCTAATTCCATTTTATCTAAATGAGCATGAATATGTACATCAACATGCACCAGAAAAGACAAAAGCTTGGAAGGAACATATCGAGAATATTAACCATGGTTACACCTGTGTGGCACCTCACAGGAAATTTTTTTACAATTATTTTCTGTAATTTTAAAAAGCACCCACCACTTAATGTACCTAATCCCACATCTTTAAAAAAACATTTTCAAAAAGCAATCAAGACAAAGTTATTTTTAACATGTTTAAAACAGAGTCAGTTGTAATACAAGAATGGAAAACATCCCAACTAGTAAGTAAACATGCAGACCCTGAGTCACAGAGCTGGTTTTTCTCTGATAGACGCAGGTTCACAGCGGGGAGCTTACCAACAAGCCCCCCGCCTACGGTGGCCACTGGTACCCCTCACTGTCCATCACACCTACCATCGGCACAGTTCACTCTTGGGACAGCGATTACTCAGCCCATTCTCCGATGGGACCTTAAGCCCACCTGGGGTACACAGCCTCCTGACCCAATCACTAAGGTCAAAGTCAGTGGGAGGAGCTCACAGGTCAGGATCCTGCCCCAGGGCTGCCTGACCAGGCTCCCATTCTCCGCACTGGGCTTGGCCCTCACCTTCTGCCTGACCACTGCTTACTGGAAACTAGCTGTTTTTCTCCGGGCTCTGGCATCAGCCCCAGGCCAGCTGCAGAGGGGGAGAGGTCTGACTCCAGCTCCCACTGGGAAGGAAGATCAGGTGCTGGCTCTTCCCTGCACATGCTTCCGGGACACGAGACACCAAGCAGTCCAGTGATGAAGCCTTTCCCGTTCTAATCTTCCTGCTCCTCATCTAAACCTCATGGCACTTAGTAATGATCCAGTTGGGGCCATTTACTGAAGCCCACTATACATCAAGCATCTTATATGTATTTCCTGTTGTTGTGAAATTCCTGCAGGGCACAACATCCGTGGGAGGTAAAACCGGAGTCCCAGGGTCATAGGTAACTTGCCCCGGGTCACAGAGCATCCTAATGATGGACAAGAATGAACCCAGGTTGGTCTTTCTCCACGGCAACGCCCCCTCCCCCTTCCCCACCAGGTGTTGCAGGTCTCACCCTTACTTCATCCTCCTCCGCCTGATTTCCCAAGGCAGTATTCTTCTGGCTCTACCGAGTCTCGTGCGTGAAGCCTGGCACTCCGTAGCGACTGAATGGCCCTTATGGCCTCACTGGAGAGAAGGGCTGCGAGAGCCTGATTCCTGGGCCTGTGTTCACAGAGCTTCATCTCCTCCCTTCTTCTATGTAGTTATTTTGGAATTTGACCTGACTCTTCTGGAAACTTTTTTGTTTTTCTAGTACCTCAAGCCGATGGCTTCCCTGGTAGCTGGGCAGATTTGGCTTCCTGCAGCTTTCTTGACCGAAGCCGAAGACTCTGAGGTTTGCAGGCACCCCCACACCACAGCCCATTTCCCTCTGCGTCCAGACCCACCCACCCCGAGACAAAGCAGAAGGGCCGTCCCTTCCTCCTTCCATCCTGCCCTTCGCTCGCTCCCCCTCCCACAGCAGCCTAGACAGTCTCAGTGCTCTCGTTTCTCCTGTCACACAAGCTTTGACGTTGACATTAAGCCTATTTCAACTGCATAGAAATATGGGGGGGGGGCAGAACAGAAGACGACAGAGAATGCCCTGGACAGAGAATGCCCAGCTCAGTCCCAGGAGGCCCTGGACTCCCAGTGTAGTCCGTGTAATGAAAAGACAGATTTGAGACTTGGGTTTCAGGTCAAATCCAGAATACACTACAGGGTGAGTATCCCTGAACTAAAATCCTCGGAACCACAAGTGTTTCAGATTTGGGAATATTTGCATTCTACTTATCAGCTGAGCCTCCAATTGGAAAATCCCAAATTGGAAATGGTGTCACAGCGGTGCCCAAATATCTGAACAGCCATTTTCCTAAAGAGTATATACATATGGTAAACAAGCACATGGAAAGATGCTCAACACCACAGGGAAACAGTTAAAACCACGAGATACTACCACCAATCAGCATGGCTGAAATTAAAAACTAACCAACAAACAAAAAACGAGCAGTATCAAGGGTCAGGATATCGAGCAACCAGAATTCTCATACACTGCTGGTGGGTATGCAAAATGGTCATCACTTTGGGGAGTATTTTGGCAACTTCCTACAAAGTTAAACATACGGTTACCATACAACCCAGGAACTCCACTCCTAGGCAGTTACCCAAGTGAAATGAAAACTTATGTTCACATACAGACGTCTAAGCAAATATTTATAATAGCTAAAAACTGAAAAGAACTCAAATGTCTTTCAAACAGTAAATGGATAAGCCTTGATATAGCCCCTCAAGACTATTCAGCAATACAAACTTATGAATTACTGATACACGCAGCAACATAGATGGAATCTCAAATGCCGTAAGCTAAGTGACAGGGTCAGACTCAAAAGCTGCACACATATGTATCACTTCTCTAACATTCTAGAAACCACATGGACAGAACACACATCTTTGTCAGGGTCTGAAGAAGTGGAGGTATTTAGGGAGAGTGGTAGGGGGAGATTCTGGGACTCATCAAAGTGTTTTATATCTTGACTGTGGCAGCAGTGGTGGTTACATAACTGTACCAATTTGTCAAAATTCACAGAACTATACCCTTGAAAGGGCAAATTTCACGGTATTAATCATATATTTTTTTCTTTTCTTTCTTTTTTTTGAGTCAGGGGTCTCACTCTGCCACCCAGGCTGGAGTGCAGTAGCACAATCACAGTCTCTTCGCAGCCTCAACCTCCTAGGCTCAGGAGATCCTCTCCCCTCGGCCTCCCAGGCAGCTGTGATGACAGGCACATACCACCACGCCCAGCTAATTTTCTTATTTTATGTAGAGAGGAGGTCTGGCTATGTTACTGTGTTTGGTCTGGAACTCCTGGGCTCAAGCAAGCCTCCTGCCTCGCCCTCCCAAAGTGCTGGGATTATAGGTGTGAACCACCATGCCTGTCTCTTTTTAATGGAAGAAGAAAGTAATCACAGATAAAGACAAATGGATTCCAGAGGTTCTAAGAATTCTAGCCTGGACAACTGTGAGGATGATGACGCCACTACCTAGAAAGGCAACTTTTCAGGCCTGCACCACAGGCTACACCCAGACTCGAACGGACGCAGGGAGCAGGCTCTGTCTTCTCTCCGCTCCCTGCCCTCTCCGCTCTTGTTTTTGGCCGTGAAAAAAGGCAGGAAGGGGAGTTGAGACAGACAGGCTCTCAACAGATTCCCTACTGAGTAAAAAATAACACCTTAAATCACAGAATTAAAGTAGAACAGAGCCTGAGAAGCTACTATGCCAACTCGTCTTCTATACTTAAATCATACCAGAGAGAGGGCTATTTACATGTTTCTTAAAGAAACTAGGCAGGGTGGAGGGGATTCAGATGTATTTAGGTTTAATTACAGAACGTTTTTTTTTTTTTGAGTCAGAGTCTCACTCTGTCACCCAGGGTGGAGTACAGTGGCCGCTCACGACCACTGCAGCCTGCACCTGGCTGGGCTCAGGTGAGCCTTCCACCTCAGCCTTCCAAGTAGCTGGAACTACAGGGTTGTGCCACCATGCCCAGCTAATTTTTTTTATTTACTGTAGAGACGAGGTCTCACCAAGTTGCCCAGACTGGTCTCAGGCAATCCTCTTGCCTCTGCCTCCCAACACGCTGGGATTACGGGCACAAGCCACCATGCCCAGCTTAATGATAGAAACCTTTAAGGTGCACAGTAATGGAAATAACACTTAACCCTTCGCACTTGGATGCCACCACTGAGGGGATGTCTTTGACAAATCTAGCAACCCTCAGATGTCCCTCGTAGGGGCCATAAAGAGATTCCCGGTGATTATACAGGACAAACTGATGCCAGCACACATTTTTCGAAATGTATGTTTCCTTGCAGTTTGTCATTCAAACTGCACGGAAAAGCAAATAAAGAGATGGACTAGATACTGAAACATACGTTAAAAAATACCAGATGGTGTTACCGAGAAAGCGCATGTGTGAAGAGAGGCAGCTGTGGGCATCCCGTGTTGTGAACACAACATGAAAAGACAGATCAGCAAGTTACCACAGTCTTCAAAGAAAGAGCCTCTCCAAGTTGAAGGCAGGTCACACTGAAGTACTGAGTGGCAGAAATCAACCATACCTATCTGCACTAAGTTGGAAAAGTAAAATCGGAAAAGTGATATTCTTTTGATAAATTTCATTTCATTATTTCATAATCGACGAGAAAATTTTTATCAATTTATTCAGTTTGCAGAACAAAGGCAAAACAAAAAGACAAACTGTGAATTATAACATCAGCAACAGCGAAGATGAGTTAGAGTTAGACTTTCATCCAGATAACTTAGAAAAAATAAACACTGATGTGGAAGAAAATCAGTAGCAATAGTGAAATCATCCCACCAAGAAGAAAATGGAAAAAGTCATAGAAAGTGAGAGCGATGAAAACGTTAGTAGTTCTGGAGAAATAGAAGATAATGTGCCATCAAGTGAAGGATGGGAAGATGTCACAGAAAAAGATGACTTCCCAGCAAGAACGAATCTTATTGCACGTCCTCAAACAACCAGACCACAAACAGCAAGTAGTATAAGAGAACCAACTGACTGTTTTACTGTGTATTTTACAAAAGAATTAGTTTACAGTGTGTAAAAACGAATTGTTAGGCAGATGAAAAAATAAGGAAAAGCCAGTCGTCGCACAAATTGCTGAGTCGTGAGGATTGTGCTACAGTAGCTACATGTTG